CTGTACTAATTAGAATTAACATACAACCCAATTTTTTTAAGTTTATTTATTTTGAGAGTGAGAAAGAGAGCACAAGTGGGGGAGGGGCAGAGAGAGAGAGGGAGAGAGAGAATCCCAAGCAGGTTCCATGCTGTCAGTGCAGAGCTCAACGCTGGGCTCTATGTGAGGCTCAATCCCACGAACCATGAAATCATGACCTCAATCAAGAGCCGAAATCAAGGGTCAGGCACCTAACCAACTGAGCCACCCAAACTCCCCAACGTATGACCCAATTAAAATAGATCTGTGCTCATTTCTGGAGGCTAAAATCTACCTTCACAATTCATGAATGATTCAAAACTACTCTGACTTAGCCACTATCATGACAAAGAAAAAAACTGCATCCATTCTCAGCATGAGCATAAAGGTTGACCTAAAAAGACTTGTCTGGTTTCTTAAATTGAAAGTAAGTGGATGAAACACCATCAGAATCTTTCCACATTCTCAGCTGAGGCTGTGTACAGGTGATGGGAGTTTTTCCTTGCACACCGTTAACCAAAATTATAACTATGACACGCCTTAAAACAGGGGTGTAGTCCAGTTCACAGGCAGAAATGAGGGAACAATTAGAATTTTACAGCAAAGGGATAGCTACCATGCTAGTAAAAATAAAGGTTTTTTTTTTTTTTAATTTTTCATAACTTTGAAAACACTTGTACCATCTTGCCTTTTCTCAAAGTAAACAAAGTTAGTGATTCTCTTATTTTTCTCTCCGTCTTTTTCAAATTTGTTATCGTTACTTTCCTACTTAGAACTCTCTTTCTTTTCAAATGTGTATTTATTTTTGAGAGAGAGAGAGAAACAGAGTGTGAACTGGGGAGGGGCAGAGAGGAGAGGGAGACACGGAATCCAAAGCAGGCTTCAGGCTCCAAGCTATCAGGACAGAGCTGGACATGGGGCTCGAACCCATGAACCATGAGATCATGACCTGAGCCGAAGTTGGACGCTTAACTGACTGAACCACCCAGGCGCCCCCCTACTTTGAACTCTTTAAAATGGGAGAGGCACAGGAATGCTCACAGCTTGTAGAAATGTACCTTATCCAAAGTACTAGACACACTAGCCTTTAAACCTATCTCTCCTCCCAATGTCTCCATTTTTGTTAATGACACCAACATCCCCTCACCTCAAAAGCAGAAGCTGGTTGACTCTTCTATCTTTTTATTCTTTTTTTTTAAGTTTATTTATTTATTTGGGGGGCAGGGTACACATGCAGGCCAGGGAGGGGCAGAGAGAAAGGAAGAGAGAGGATCCCAAGCAGGGTCCCCACTGCCAGTGCAGAGCCTGACATGGAGCTTGAAACCATGAACCACGAGATCATGACTGGAGCTGAAATCAAGAATCAGAAGCTCAGTCGACTGAGCCACCCAGGCATCCCTCTATCTCCCTATCCTTGACACCCACTCTGTTCTCAAGACTTGTCAAATCATCAGTCTATCAGGATTTACTTACACATTTATCCCTTCATTACATCTATAAACCTTTACACAAATCTAGAACAAAGCACAATGAGAGGCACCAGAGTCATAAAAGTATAAAAAACACACTGTCCCTAAAATCAAGATCTTTAAAATATTAAAGCCATGAGGCATTTATCCCATAGTCAACACTTTCCCTCTCCATGGCTCTTCCATAGTCTGACCCATGATTTTATCTAACCTACCTTGAATATTGTAACAAGCTTCTATCCGCCCATCACATCCAAGTGAAAACCAAGGTTCTCCAAGTAAACCTTTCCTCACCACAGCCATGGCCTCTCCTCTGAAGCCAGTGGTTCTTGGGCGTTCTTCTGGACACCCTGTGCTTCTAACATGTTGGAGTATTCTTATACTATTTAACTTTTAGAATTTCGGTGTTTCCCCCCCAGACTTCCTCAATTTGAAATCAAACTCTCTAAAGCATATGTTTTTATAACCTCTATGCACCGCCTCCAGCATGACACAATTACCACAAATAGTTAACATCAATTAACAAATTAACAAACTGATTAATAATATTATTTTGAACTCAATATCATATTTACAGCTCCTTATGTTTTGTCTTTATTTGATTTAAATGAAGAAACCATACATTATAGAAAGTTATTAATTTTTAGTCTACAAGACACTAGAGAAAGTAAACTTGATTTTATCAACAACCTTTAGGGGTTTACACAAATGAGTATGGCGGCAGAGAAATGCAAGATCTAGGAGGAGGAGAAAGAACAACAGGCTTTGAACTAACAGAAGGAGTTAAAACACCAGGAGTACCTGAGATATGTCAAGAATATTCTGGAACATTAAGAAGAAATTCTATGAGAGAATGTAGAGAAGGAGGTCTGAATATGAACTTCATGGAAAGTTACTTCTGTCAGGTAAGGTCTTTAGCCCCATGCCTTCCTTTCCATCCTGTGTCCCCGGCTCTACTCCAGGCTGCCACTAGTCCCCAGCAGGGCTCTAGCAGTTTCCCAGCCTCTAGTCTATGCCTGACAAACATACTGCTGCTGGATAAAATTTCCGTAATTCTGAACTGATCACTTTACTGCTCTCCTTAAAAACAGCCAGTGGCTCCCAGCTCTATTTGTCCAAGGCATGAAGTCCAAACTCCTTACCATGACAATTAAGATTATTCATAAATTGACCCCTTCCCTCATCTCCAATTACTCCTTACCGCCAATCCCACATACCACATGTCTTTGCCTCATTCACACTGGTCTATTCCCCTCCATGCCTTCGCCTATGCTGTGCCCCTCCTGGGATGATTTTATCCATTATCTCATACTCATCTTTTAAGACTCAACTCAAATAACACTGCCTCTCTGAAGCATTTACTGTTAACCCTCATGTCTAAAACAAAATTGATGTTTCTTTATCTATATTTCTGTAGTGCTCTGTGTATACGCCTTATAGAATATATCATTTATATTGGTAAAATATGTTTATATGTCTACCATGGTTTTTAGTGCCCTGTCCATATGTTCTCTACATCATGTTACCAGTACCTAACTCAGTTCCAGGCATATAGTAAACGTTCAGTAAGTGTGAGTTCAAGAGCCACAGACACTTCCAAAACATTCTAAGAACAAGCAGGAATTAATTTTGCCATCCCCAGGTAGAGACTGTCTGTAACTACTTAAACTTTCAGGGATTTTCTATCTCTGAAACTGTCTTATCTCTGATAGATTTACATCCTTCTACATCCTGGCCTAAAATATTTTCTTTAACTCTCCTATTGGCTTAGAGGGTGGCTGATATCTTGAAAGAAAACACTGATAAAGCCTTTCAAATAGCAGTAGATAATAATAAGAGAACTGTTGTTGAAACCCACAGGAATACTTCCTATCCATGTCCCTACAAATGAATGTTATTTTCATGAAAAGTATATTTCTGCCTCAAAACTTGTGCATCTTACCACTCCTCCCGCCCAGGACACACTGTGTGCTTTATTTACCCCCACTGCTTTATTCTAACCTCTGATCAAATATCATTTTCTGAGATGCTGCCCGTGGCTATTCTGTCACTCTGTCCCTTGGCCCTGCACTCACCACCTCCTGATAAATACCTTATATGTTGTCTGTCTCATCCTAGTACAAGGTAAGTCTAATGAGAGAGAGACTTCAAGTGTTTTTGTTCACTGCTGTATTGCCAAGTTCCTAATAGAGGGTCTGGCAAATGGTAAGGACTAAAAAATATTTTTGAATGAAACGGCACAACGATTTGGTTTGCTAAGAAAAGTATTTCTGATACTTAACCTGAAAGTTTGCAATCCAATATTACAAATGATAAAAAATGAAATAAAGGTGCACATGTCTGTGGGCTTTCACTTTGAATTGAAGGAGATCTGATTTCTAAAAACCTTCAGTTTTAAATCCCCAAATGGCATGGAGCCAGAGTCAAATGTTCCTGTTGTTTTGCTAAAAAAGCCACATTCAAATAAATCTTCACTGAACCTCCAAATTCACTCCACTAAGGAAGGAAAGCACAGTCCTGGATGAACCTGAAACAACTATGAACTACCTTCTTTTCTACAAACCAAGGGAAAAGATTGGTGTATTTCAAGTTCAGGACTTTTAAGTACCTTCTAACTTGGTTACAAAAGAATTTATGCGATATTTTACTTGTGCTTTTGTATCTAAAGTGCACCTACGATGATTTTAAAAGTCGAAATGTATTATCAGAGTAACAGCTAAAATAATTTCTAACCAAATCTTTCAAGCAATTATATAATGATTTTTAAAACATCTTGGAATTTTGTTTTATATATTCTTCTTTGGGTAGTGCCCTGGAAGAAAAAAAGGGATAAAGATTTCTATTATTGCTAAATATGTATCCATAATTTCATTTTCTCTTCTCTCTGCAAATCCAGAAAGCATATGCTTATGCGGATGAAGACGAAGGACGCCCATCCAATGACTGCTTGCTCATATATGATATTGAAGGTGTAGGTTCCCCTGCTGGCTCTGTGGGCTGCTGTAGCTTCATCGGAGAAGACGTGGACGACAGCTTTTTGGACACACTGGGGCCTAAATTTAAGAAGCTGGCAGATATCAGCCTGGGAAAAGAAGCTGAACCATATCCAGACCCTGATCCGTCTTGGCCACCTGAGAGCACCGAACCGATCTGCCCTCAGCAGGGAACAGAGCCCGTCATTGGTGGACACCCACCCATCTCCCCACATTTCGGCACTACAACTGTCATCTCTGAGAGCACCTACCCCTCAGGACCTGGTGTACAGCATCCTATGCCTATTCCTGATCCTCTGGGCTATGGTAATGTCACTGTGACAGAATCTTACACCACCTCTGGCACTCTGAAGCCCTCTGTCCATGTTCATGATAACCGACATGCAGCAAACGTAGTGGTGACCGAGAGGGTGGTTGGCCCAATCTCTGGCACTGATCTGCATGGAATGTTAGAGATGCCTGACTTGAGAGATGGGTCAAATGTTATAGTGACAGAAAGGGTAATAGCACCAAGTTCAAGTCTACCCACCTCTTTGACCATGCCTGATCCTAGAGAGTCATCAAATGTGGTAGTGACAGAAAGAGTCATCCGACCGGTTTCTGGCATGATGGGCAATCTAAGTATACACCCTGAGTTATCAAATGCCCAAAATGTGATTGTGACAGAGAGGGTTGTTTCCGGCTCTGGCATAAGCGGAATTAGTGGCCCCGCTGGGATAAGTGGAGGCAGTGGCCTGGTTGGCAGTGCAGCTGGAGTAAGTGGCAGTGGCATTGGGCAGAGCAGCCTGGGAGGAGGTGGGGGCCTGGGTAGCAGCATGGGGGGGACAGCCACCATTGGCCACATGAGGAGCTCCTCTGACCATCACTTTAGCCAGACCCTTGGATCTGCCTCCCCTAGTACAGCCCGAAGTCGAATCACAAAATACAGTACAGTACAATATACGAAGTAGCCAGGATCCCAGCACACTTGTTCTCAGTAATGGTGATTCAGATCCAGTTCCCACCACCAAAAAACTAACGATGTGATTTGTGATGCACAACTAGGTGCTAAGAAACCGTGGAGCAAAGTGAGAAACCACAATGGGGAAAATAGATGGAAACAGTGCTGTTGGGCAAGAGCTCTCCTGAGCATTTGTAAACTTTTTTCTTACATTAATAATAATGGGATCGCGACAGTGAACTAAAACTTGAGACAGCATCTTCTTTGTGCCTGTATGGCCTGTAGGGTCTTCTTTGCTTCTGTGTGGCCTGTCATGTATCTCCAGCACATGGAATAAATTAAGCTGAGTCACGCAAAGCACTGGCCTTAAGACGGCAATTGGCACAATTCTCCTTGCCCTGTTTTGACTTGCCATGTAGCTCAGGCAATATTGAAAAAGGACTAAACATGCAATATGTGCTCATGTATGTAGGAAGAATTTGAAATACGTGCCAGGCACCCTGTCAATTTCACAGATAATAGAAATAAAAATCCAACCATACATTCAGACCATGATTAACCGTTAAAGAAAAAAGTCTGACTACACAACCAAATTCACAAGCCACCAAGCTTAATAACTGCACTAGATAAAATAAACCTCATATTAGGAAACGTTTCCTGGGAGGAAATTTCCATAAGAGAAACCTTACTTCCATAAGGCAACCGGGTAAGATTCTATTGGGGAAAACTGGCAATGTCTAAACCTGAATCTTGAGATGGGGCTTCAGCTGAAATTCCCATGGAGACAAGTTTTCTGACTCTAGTTTGTGTTTAGTGGAAGGTGCAAGATTCACAAATATTGCATGCTGGTGAGGTTGCAGGATATCGCACTCCTTCTTATAACTGTGGCTGACCTAATAACGGAAAACTTGCCGAGTGTACTTCTCTGACCAAAGCAAGTAACACCTGACATGGTTGTCATCCTTAGTGGTAAATTGCCTTCCAAGGAAGCAGATGGAAACCACATTGTATTTTCAGATGTGTGTTTTATAAGTGTTACTCATCCACATCAGCTCTTTATTATACATCTCCTAAGTTAAAATAATTTACTTAAGCTGAGCTGTGGAAAAAAAAAAAGCCTGCAGTATGGTTAAGCTTTGGGGGAAATTTTTTTAAGGGGATCCAAAAGAAGTTTTTAGAACATGTAAAATGTTTAATGGGAAAAGTTAGAATTGTTGCGTAAAAGTAACACCACTAATAGTTTTAATTTACTTTTTTAAATAACCCTCTGCTGCTATTTTGAAGGGGTCAATTAAAAACTTTTAACAGAGTTGATGATATTGTGTTAATACAAATGAAATTGTTCTCAACCACCCCATTTCATTCGTCTATCTCACTCCCTAACTAAATGTTCTCACTAGAGTAAATGTTATGTCCCTGATTTGATTTGTCAATAAGCTCTTGGTTGATATATGCTCCAGTTTATAGGTAGTTCCCAAATTATGCAGTATGATATATTTTTCTAGCTTCAAAATTTAATAATGTATTATTTATGGTATGTCATTTCTACGTGTTTGCTATATAGTATTACCTGGTTTAAAAATCTCTAAATAGAATCAAAGCATTCTTAGACAGGGGTAAATTTACTGTAGCAAGTTAGAGGAATTTTTTTCTCTTTTCTAAATTCAGTGTTAATGTGAGCTCACTAAAGTGAAACTTATGACAACATTTTTTAAGGATCATTCCCACCGATGACCCAAATTTCTCAGGGTATTACAAGATCAAAGAACAGTCACTCAACTTCCAACACTTGTCAAAGGAGGCGAGGGAGTGAACTATTTTATTAGAGCTATTTTTCTCAGTGTTATAGCAGATGGTGTCAATACTTTCAAAGCCAAAAGATACATCCTATTCCATATGTAGAGTATGTGAAATGTTGATAATGTGTAGCATGCCCAAATACAGAGGTGTAAATAAAGTCATTCACAGGGACTCTTCTTTTATTTCTTTCTCCCATTTGGGGGGTCTTCCATTAATGATGGAATCTTTCCAGAAATAAAGTCAAAAGGCATTTATTGAGATAAGCTGGGTCCAGGAGTTTGAAGGAAAATAATTACTAGTTAGTTATTAGTTAATTAATAAAAAAAGAATCAATAAAAAAGAATTTGATTTGACATATCATCAGAAGTGTTTTTAAAGATTCCTGATATCTTCCAACAAAGTTTTTTAGGTTGTCTAACGAATGCTAGATTGACCATCTTTAATAACTGTTGTTATTAAGATCCATTAGTTACATAAAGCCATGGGAGATATAAAAAATGACAGTATTAGTTGTCGATCTTTCTAGGAAGCCACTTTCAAATAAATTTTTTCCAGGATAACACACTGATGTTCTAACTCTTCATTCTTAAGTCTTAAAATTATCTTTTTAAAGATACCATTCTAACAATCATTTAAAGGCACGTCATTTTTTCAATAAAGAACCTTGGGGGAGAAATTAGTTCTACTCTGTACATGCTTTACTCTAACTCATGGACCATAGGTCATTCTACAGATCTAAGATATGGAAGTTATTTTATAAGTGAATCGTTATAATTCAAATCTATATTGCAAGCTGAATACCAGATCAACATGCTCTCAACAAAAGAGAAAAGGAAGAAGCAGCAATTTAGAGATTATGTGTATATAATTTGAAAACAGTGTGTTTAATGTTTATAAAATATCTGACTTTCTAAAGAGGTGGTACTTAGGGTCAAAAATTATTGGATCATAAATACTTTATAATTTAATATCAACCGAAACACCATCTTTAGCTAATTTTGACACTGAATCCCAGTTATATCTGCTATATATTATTAGCTTCTATGTATATTACCTGATGTAATTGTATACACACGAAAAATTTACGGAAAAATTATCTATTTGGGGAGACTTTTAGGCCTTCATCTGGACATCTATTCTACATTTGCATATAGTTTTTAGCCTTATAATCTCCACTCAATGTAGTTCCTTGACAGAATTTTAACTATATAGCTCCAAAACGTACATATTCACACTCCAACTGGATGTTTTTAGTTAAATACCCAATTACTTTCTGAATTTATACCAACCTCTGAATGTCAACCAGGGTATAACACATATGATACCCTTTGACTTGGGTAAAGGTTTTATAATCATTGGCTAAAATAGTCATGGCTGTATAAGAAAGACACTTGAAACCCAAAACAAACTTTTAGAAGTATTAGCCACGTTTTCCCATGCCCATTTAATAAATTGCAACCTTTTGTAAGATTTCTGGTATTTTTAAGACTTACTTCACTTTGCACTGCAGTACACAGTCCACAGAGATTACTGGCCCCCATTAAATAGAATCCGCCTTCCAGTTCTAGATTGTTCAATTTATGTTAGGACAAACGCATGAATGTATCAACCTATTATCCATCAAAGAATTTTAAAACAAGGAATATTCTACTGTTTGTCTATATTCCTTCCATTTGATTATATTTGAATTACTAAACACTTTATCATCAAGCTGTACCTAGTCTAACTTATTTTTCTTTTGCTATTTTACAAGTATTTTTAAACTCTAATATTCATCTTTGGTGATGTTTAAAACAAGGTGCTTTCAGGTTTCAATATAAAAGTTCTTGGTTTATTTTGGTGCTAGTTCCTTGCTTGGTCCTCCGTTGGCTATTACAAGTCGGTTTGTAATTTCCAAAGACATATTTACAGCAATAAAATGATTGGTATGCCTCCATGATCTTTTCTGAATTGTATAGGTGGGGAGGTTGAGACTGTAAGGAATAATTAGAGGTTATCAAGTCTAATGACTATTTTCAGCCCATATGAGGGAAAAAATATTTTATTTTCACACTTTAAAACTTATTTTCCTTTTCCATTTTCTAGCTCTTTTTTTTCTTCTGTGTTTACTAAGGAGCCTCCTCTCCAGAGTGCTTTTCAGCAGATCAGAGCACAGGCTTGAGCCGCCTCGCACAAATACATTAAGTGATAAATAGTTGGCCTTTTAAACTTCCTTCTGATACTTTTGGCATCTTCATACTTTTCTTTCTCTCTTTCATACTCTAATTTTTATTTTTGCTTACACTAGCATTATATTTCTTTTAAAATGGATTTTCTTCTTCTTTGCCTTTAAAATCATGCCCTTCCATCTTTATTGGGAGTACTTTTTGCCCCCACCTAATGCCACTTTCAGAACACTATCACCTTCATCTTACATGAAACCTTACCCTTTTCAGACTCGTATGATCTGCTTGTATTCCTCTCCCTCTCTTCCGCTTGTGTTATTCACGGAACGCCCAACAGTATCCTCGCTTTTACTGAAGACTCATATTCTGGCCCACAGTCTGCTGTAAACTTTCCAACTCCTGTGAGGATTCACAGTGACTTAAGCGACCACCTGGATGACACCCAACACCTGAAATTCTCAGTCCTTAGACCCCCTTTTTCTCCGTCCCACTTTAGCCACATGCAGCCTTGTCATAACCGAGCAGGGCACTTCTGTGGATGCCTGTTCCAGCCTTCACAGCCTCTGACCACTTCCTCCTGACTCTTCCAGCTTATGTGCTGAAGTATTCTGATTGTGCAACTCCTCCAATTCAATCAAAGCTGCCATGTTTTGACTCCTCCTACTTTCCCCTATCTGCCACCCCATGTTCCTCGTTGTCTAATCAAGCTTCATGAGTTCAACCACACTGCCTCTTGGGGCATGCCTTCAAACTCCTTGCCCTGCTCTCCCCTTTCATATCCCAAATCTTTCACCCTCCATCTCTGTCCTCACACAAACAGCTAAACAAGTGATTCAAGTAAACTGACTTTTTTTTTCATTTTTTTTTTTTCATTTTTTTTTTCAACGTTTATTTATTTTTGGGACAGAGAGAGACAGAGCATGAACGGCGGAGGGGCAGAGAGAGAGGGAGACACAGAATCGGAAACAGGCTCCAGGCTCCGAGACATCAGCCCAGAGCCCGACGCGGGGCTCGAACTCACGGACCGCGAGATCGTGACCTGGCT